ACAAGTTAACACTTCACTATTTATTAGTAAATGTTAACTTATCAATTATATTATAAGGTCTCTGAGGACAATGATTATGCTTGACTTTCCTTTCTGTCGTCTGTCTAATCCCAGTATCATTTTATGGCAAGATCAGTACTTAGGTGTTCTGCACAGTACTGCACTCAAAAACCAAGCCAGACTCATTCCAGGTACTCTGCTGCAGCTGTGATAAGCTGCTCAGAACACTGAGTGGAACTCCAGTTCAAGGTTCTCCTTCTGTTATCCACTGGATCATAGTAAGATCTCCCTGAATACCACACGGCATAGTATAAATCCAGGAAAGTAAAGAAAAGCCTGCTGCCATCCACCGGTACAAGACGGTTAGATTTTAGAGCAAGAGTCACAAATTCACCCACAGGCCATGGCCAAGACATACAAGTGTTCTTGCACAGTGTTTGTAAACAATAGCTATCATTGCTTTTACTTCAAAGATAGTCGTTTTTCATATGAACAACAACAACAACAAGCCCTGAGATTCTGGGCTCCTTTTAATAACATCTGGATATCTGGCAACACCAGGCCCCAGATTATCAAATGGAAAACAACTCTGTAGCCGTATAGCAGCTGCTGCCTTTAGATGAAGCAGGTACATGCTAGTTCACTCCAGTCCCTACCATTTCCTTTTGTATTGTATCTAGTCAGATTCACTCCCTTTTCAGTACTTGCCTGGCTCCGTTTGCTACTAGGTTTGATTAGAAAGCAGACTGACTCTAAGTAGGTAACCTGCTAGCCAGCATCAGGCTGAGGAGGCTGCTCCTACATCAGATAACCTCAGCACACAAGGACATTCAGATGCTCTCTTCCATGTTAGTGATCTGCTTAGACCATTGTATAGTTAGATATTCACAACTCTCTGCCTATCCTAGGCTCCTGAACAAATCTAGACACCCTGAACTGAATTCCTGCTTTCTGCCTCTGCTGGGCAGAGTGACCTGGGCTCTGCACTGACTGTGCCCTGACTGATCACTACAGCCACAGTGACTTCAGAAGAAGGATGAGAGCTTCATCTCTTGTATAAATAACCTATTTTAGCTTTTTCACATTCAATTAATTTCCCTGTAGTGTCAAGATTCGAATTCCACAGTGGAACTAAATTGCTACGTGCAATCCATCAGGATGAATGGGCTCAGTGTGTGATGTTAAATAATGCCAATAAAAGTCCAAGTACTTCAGTCATAGTAAATTGGTTACAGCCCTACTTCTAACCTGGGCTAGGGCTCAATGATTTCTAGTTTAGAGATACTCCAACAACAATTTAGCCTACATAAACAGTACAGTCTTTTCTCACCCAACAAAAAAAAAGTTAATGTTGATTTTCTTTGCACAGTTATATTTGCCCCATCCACTATCAGCAGGAAATAGTTGCTATTTAACCCTCCAGTTCAGTGGGATCCAATAATTTGCCTCCATATTTTTGTATGATGGTACTGAAGGGGTTTCTAGCTCTAGGATTTTTAACTTCACTGTCTTCTGTATAAAACGGGCTCATTATTTTAAGTGACCAATTCAAACACACATCATATTTACAAGTAAGCCTCTCCTCTCCCCTAAAATACTGTATTCTTAGTTTCTGAGCTTCTTGTTCAGAGAATAAAAATGTTAGTAGACAATTCAAACCTTTTCTTTAGCTACTTCTCTATGGAGTATGGTTTTACAGAAAACAGAAGCAAAAACAAAAACACAGCCTTCTTAGCATCATGTTGTTAAGTTCACTAATTCTCAGGACAAAAATAAAGACAGGAATACACATACAGCACTTTTCATCACACTCTAAGAAAATTAAGAGCAGCAGCATCTAATGACTAGCTGTTTGTTAAGAGAAAGTATATAATTATAAAATCATCTTTCTTCGATTCAGTAACTGTAGAGAATACTTGCACTTTGATCATTTCTGTAATCTCCTTTTTATGCTAGGACCACGATTTCTCCCCATAAACACAGCAGTTGAGAAGTTCAGGGGTATACAACTGAGCCCAGTGGAACAGATATAAGACAGTTGGTCTATGCCTGATCTGTAGAGTACTAAGTATGGACTGTTTCCTGCTATACAGACCACAGAAGAAGAGGATTTGTATGAAATTTCTCATCTGATCTACATGAGCTCACGCTGGATTTCTACCAACTGCAAAATAAGAATCCTAACAAATACAGAAATATTTTTCGTGTTTATGTTAGTGATTCATCTGACCCTTTGATTTACCTCAACCAAAAGTTATTTCAGACTCTGAAATCAGGCTTCATCTTCAGAATAAATTCACTCTATCCCCTGTAAGAACTATATATATTTACAATACAATATTAAGGGAAATCATATCACTGAATATTGAATCAGATAATCTAAGCACACAAGGACATTCAGATGCTCTTTTCCCTACTCTATCACCTGTAAGAACCACATATATTTACAATACAATATTAAGGGAAATCATATCACTTGAATGGAGTTTTCATTTTAACATAAAATAATTCTATTAGTGGGTAAAATAGGCACACCTGGTAATATGAACTTATGAGTGGATGATGGCCTCATCATAGTGTAATGAAATTTCACTGTAGCAAATCAACAGGGTATGCAGTCAAACTCCAAGCTATCTCAATATTTTCAAGTTCTACCTTCATTTTTATTTGCTTGAAATGATAAGGTAAAACTATATTGATGCTGGTGAAGAGTATCCTAACCCTAGGAATTCAGGAAGTTTACTTTTGTAGTTAGACTATCAATTATAGGCCTAGTAATTAGATGAGGAGCATCCAAATGCAAATAATATGTAAAGCAGCTCCTAAGGCAAACTTCCTTTGAAGAGCGTAGCCAAATGTTACAACAACTTTAGGAAAATACATCTTAAAACCCTCAACAAGTATTCTGGATTGTTTCTAGTGTGCTGGTAGCTTTCTGTTTTTGATTTTTCAGTTGTTGCTTTGTGTTATACAAGAGTTTCTCCTTTCTGGTCGTTGTTGCTTTACTCTTTTTGCATGAACTCTAAAGATCCAGAAAGACATTAGTATTGCAATGTAGATATTTTATCTACAGAAGAGACATTATTTCACAGTAATGCAGGGGTTAAACAATATTACAGCTTTGGCAAATAGATTCCATCTTTCTCTTAACTGACTGGCAAGGAAAATAAGAACAGCATATAAAGTCAGAATTCTTAAAACAAAAATACGATAATTTGATGCTGAAGAGATAAATATGAGATTATGAGCCAATAAACATTTTTTTTTCGACCCTTCAAGAATATGAGCTGAGGCAACATCAATTTCAAATAAACAGGAAGACTGCTGAAACTGATAAGGCGCAATAAATTAAAACAAAAGCACTGGAACTGTAAATTGTGGATTAAGGTGATTATATAAATCATGTACTTTCATGTGCTGTTGAACTTGGCTCTAAATGAGCTGAAAGAGAGTTTTAACTGGAATACATGGAGGAGGTCCTGAGTATACACTACAAGGGTTTCTTAGAAGACTGCTTACTAGTCTAACAGAGCACACTAATTGCCAAAATCAAATTAATTATGCTTGGTTATCACAAATCTAATATATATATATTTTCCACAACCGGACTGTAGAGAAACTGATAGAAATTGATGATTTCCATTCTTTCTTGGACTTTACAATCCTTGGGAACAGAATGCAGAACTAGTCAACTGGAAACTAAAATTGAAAGTTTAATGAACTACAAAACTCTTACGTTTTACTTAGAGAAAAAGAAAATAATTTTATTCTTTAGATGGACTGTATAGACCAGGAACAGTGGCTCACACCTGTAATCCCAACATTTTGGGAGGCTGAGGTGGGGGGACCACTGAGACCCCTTCTCTACACAAAATAAAAAATTAGCTTGGCACAGTGGCGCATGCCTGCAGTCCCAGTTACTCAGAAGGCTGAGGTGGGAGGATCACTTGAGCTTGGGGGGAGCTATGGTCACACCACTGCACTCCAGCTTGGGTGACGGAGCAAGACCATGTCTCCAAAAAACACAAAGATGGAATGTATTAAAAAAAAATTCCCTAACCTTTTCTATGGTTTATAGTTTATATTCTACTAAATCATACTTATAACCATTATCAGAATTAACATCTACTATTATTTATTGATTAGCACAACATGCAAGCAAACTTGTACAAAGATTCTGTCTTTTCTCTAGGCAGTTATGAATACCATTAACTCTCTGAACAACATCAAATTAGGAAGGTAGAAATTTTTCTTACACTAGATTGCAATTAAAGAACCACAGGTTCAAATACGGTGCAGAGGGAGGCCAGCCAAATCTTTTTTGTTTGTTTGTTTTTTGTTTTTTGAGATGGAGTCTCACTCTATAACCCAGGCTGGAGTGCAGTGGCTCCATCTTGGCTCACTGCAACCTCTGCCGCCCAGGTTCAAGCAATTCTCCTGCCTCAGCCTCCTGAGTAGCTGGGATTACAGGCGCCTGTCACCATGTCCGGCTAATTTTTGTATTTTTTTAGTGGAGACGGGGTTTCACCACGTTGGCCAGGCTGGTCTCAAACTCCTGACCTCTGGTGATCCGCCCACCTCAGCCTCCCAAAAAGCTGGGATTACAGGTGTGAGCTACCTCACCCAACCAAGGGCCAGAACCTTGAAGGCACTTGCCAGGGTGTTTGTAGAATGGAGTGGTGACTAATATTGCATATTAGATAATTGATATGAGAGTCTTTCATTCCAACAACGTATTAAATAAAAGTGATTTTTCCCAAAATTTAATTCACCTATAATAATTTTATTTTATATGGAAAACTCACTTCTAAATGACTTTTACAGTTACTATTTTAGCTTTTAGGTAACAAAACAGCTCAATGGAACTTCATGTAAGAAACATTTTTAGTAGAATTCATCATCTGAACAAAATGCTGACAAACCAGTCATACAAATATTGAGTTAAATAATTACTTAAAAAGCTCACTTATATTCTCATACTGATAATCATATATTTTTACCTTGAGAAGGTATGTGGGGATATTGCTGAAATCCACTGGCAACTTCAAAAGGAAACGAGCTGAAAATTCACCAGTCTGTAAAAAGAAAGTTATAATAATAAGATTAAAATCAAAAATAGATTATGAAGTGACAATTATAGCCAAGGCCACAAGTTCAACCTGTTCAAAATGCAGGCATCTTCAATTTGGTTTTCCTAACATTAGGCAAGAAAAGAAGGTTGGAAAAGTAGGGGAGGATCAAAAAGAGTTCTTAAATTATTAGTTACTAAAAAGCACAATTTGAATTTTTTAAATCTGCATTTTAAATGTACAATAAAATTATAATGTAGCAGTATTGCCTTTTTGTTTCTTAAAAGCATGAAAAGAATATACAAATGTATGATTATTTTTTAATCCCAAACAATAAAGACAGACCTACCCCTTTGATTCATTTGTTTTTTTATTAAAGCATTCAGAGCATATCACTAATATTTATAAACCACAAAGCTGATGGCATACACTACCACCCTTTTTGTAGTATGTCTGGAAGTACCTGCAAAGGTCAAACTTCTACCTAGCAGTGGGTATTCAAAATAAGTTTCCCATCTCCTGAGAGTCCACTATATCATTATCATTAACTGATGTTTTTTCCTAACTCCCTCCATGAACTGATCTCTATAGAAAAGAGGTACAGAGGTTTGGCGATTTAAAACATTTAACTAAGCTATAAATAATGACTTTTATTTGCTAAAACAGAAAACTCATTTAAAAGAAAAACGTTTGCCTCTCAATTTTTATGATAGGAAAGCCTAGGGAATCACTTTTTTTTTTTTTTTTAACTTTGTCATAGTCTAGAGGAGGACTTTTCCAACTAGGTCATGCAGAGATCTAGCGGTGCTAGAGAACCTCTGCAAAGGCAACCAAGATGTGTCCTGACCTGGTGGAATCCTCGGTCTTCCATCCTGTCTCACCGCAAGTGTGCAGCTCAGCCTGGCATTTTGACATAGTGTGTTTTACTTAGACATATTTGAAAAAAGAACTCCACAAATGATCCAGAACTACTCAGAGTGGATGTCCATCCTTTTCATATTGTAACTACCAAAGAGTTCCCACTCTTTAAAAAATGAGCAGCACAAACTCCCGCAAACACATCTTAAAACGTGGCAAGCGTTTACAAATATTTTTATGAGTGGGTGGATGAATGCACCTAGGCACACATGCATAGATAGCACTTTAGACAATTTCTACAAACACCCTAGCAAGTGGCTTCAAGGTTCTGGCCCTTGCCTGGGCATGGTGGCTCATGCCTGTAATCCCAGCACTTTGGGAGGCCAAGGCAGGCAGATCACCTGAGGTCAGGACATTGAGACCAGCCTGGCCAACATGGTAAAACCCCATCTTCACTAAGGAATACAATAATTAGTCAGGTGTGGTGGCATGTGCCTATAGTCCCAGCTACTCAAGAGGCTGAGGCAAGAGAATCACTTGAACCTGGGAGGCAGAGTTTGCAGTGAGCCGATATTGCACCACTGCACTCCAGTCTGGGCAACAAGAGTGAAACTCCATCTCAAAAAACAAAAAAGGTTATGGCCCTAATTTTAAAACTCTGATCTAAAACCTTGAAAATACAGACAGAAATATAAACCTTGAGCTCTGAAGATAATAATAATAATTAATATCTGCCTAAATGTTGTTTGTTTTACCGCTCACAACATCTTTTAACTTACACCAACCTCTGGCTAAGGAGAGAGCATTTCTTCACTACCATAAGCCTAAACCTGTGACAGACAAGGTGGGAATGGGAATTGAATGGACAGAATCAAAGCTGAGGCAAGCCAGAGAGAGTGACAGAAGCCACTGTGCCACCAGGAATGCCAATGGTGAGAAACAGGATGGATGCTCAGAGCTGAGTAGCTATTCTCAGTATTGAATGCCATTATGTGCAGGCTACTCACAACTCAGCACTTGGGAGAATACTTAAGAGCCACTAAGGATCTACAAATAGCTCATCATGGTGGGTGGGAGAAGGTTTGTGAGATCCTATTATAATTCTTGCCTTCTGTTATAGTCCAAGATTACCAAAAGGTGTGGTTTTGGTATTATGTTAAGCTCCTAGATGACTCTAAAACTAACATACTCTGGTAAGTGTGGTTCTTTGGAACAAGACACAGCTAAACCTAAAAATGTCTGTTTTTAAGTACAAGGGGTCATACTTTGAAAGGGGTAAGTGTAGAGGCAACAATAACAGCATAGAGTTAAATGGGAGCTTCTAAGACGGACGCCTAGCCCAATGAGAGTTTGGGGGTGTAGAAGGAAAGACAGAAAAGTCTTCCCTTAGCGCTGTGTACAGTGCTACAGAAGAAGGACCACTCATGAAAGAATACATGCTCCAGGCCAGGCGCAGTGGCTCACGCCTGTAATACCAGCACTTTGCGAGGCCAAGGCAGGTGGATCACAAG